GTTGAAATATCATGATTCCCATTAACCTCTTCTACACTTTGAATACAGGGGTCTAGAGATGATCTAAGCACCAATGGAGGATTTCAGACCCAGACAGCTATGAAACATGCAAACTCTGTGGATACCTCATTTTCTAAAGATGTTTTAAATTCCATAGCAGGTACTTGAGATCTGAGAACACTTGTGTTTAAGTCTCATCCATGTCTACATTGTGCATCATTGTGCTTTTTACTCAGTTCATAATTCGTTTTGCATAATCTGTATGGCAAAGTATACTACATTTATGCAACCAAAGAGTCTCTTTACATATTTTTTGAATGCCCACCAGTGACTTCCTCTTCTACTTAGCATTCACTTTTACTTGGCTTAAGGAGCAGTGTACTCAGATGTTATCAAATTGCTACATTCTGGAAATGGTCTTTAATTTTCATTGCCTTTTAAGATATAACAGCTTTTCAACTTCAAAGATTATTTTTAAGAACTATTTTGGAAATGGCATTTTAATTTCTCATAAACTGTCAAAAGTTGAAAGCTCCTTCCCCAAAAGTATCTTTATGAACTTTTATTAAAGCATTTTTTAAAATGAGAGCTATCTTTCTTTAAAAGGCATTTAACAAATCAAACAAGCTTTACTTTATTTCTATTTATAATGGTCCAAATTTTAAGTCCTTAATGGCCATTTTAATATACTTAAAATGTTGCATATCTTTCATGCCAATTCCAGACTCTCATTATGTTGACCTATCACAACACTGCCATCACCTCAGTAATCAACATCTTTTTAGTTCATCGTTTGAGCTTTTTTTTTTGGACCCATACATCTCATTTCCATACGTGTGCTGTGGCTTGTGTTTACAGCATTTTCATCAATAGCTATTTCTACAGTAAACCATGCCGACTCCAGAGCGTCTTTAGCAAGTCTTGACTCCAATCCAAGCACCAATGAGAAGAGCAGTGAGAAGACGGACAACTGTGAAAAAGTATGACTTCCCCCCAAAATTAGTGATCATCATCATTACAAATTGGAAGGCTCTTACTCTTGTTCAATCCCGATTGGTTGTTTGATTTCTAGATCCCAAGACCCTTGTCTTTGATTGGCTCAACTCTTCGATTTGACAAGTTAGATCAAGCAGAAACCAGGAGTCTTCTTATGTGTTTTCTTCACATTATGAAAACAATTTCAGATGGTAATGAGAACACTTTTTAAATTAATTAAAAAAAAAAAACTTTGAATTTCAAAAAGTCTCATGCTGCTTGGCATTTCCTTTCAGAGACTCTGATCGCCTACTGGCAGAGAGCACCCAGTCCAGAGGTGTCCGACTTCTTTAGCATCTTGGAGTAAGTTTTAAAGTTTATCAGATAACACATTTTTCTGGAAACTTCAAAATAATTTACTATATCATCTTTCATTCCAAGAGCTCATATGGTAAATTATCAATGATGATACATAAAATATGTAAGGAAAATGTAATGTTTTTCTATCAATATACTTAGGTGAACAGTTTTTATAAATAAAAGGGTATGAATAATTACAATGTTACTTTCTTTTCTCTTTCTAGTGTTTGTCTTCAAAATTTCAGATACCTAGGAAAACGCAATATAATCAGGTAATAATTTTAAATTCTGATAATTTAATCTGGTCTTTTAAAAAGCATGACATGTATTAATGTATCAAGTTAGACTTATAAATATATGTTAGAAATCTTAAAATGCAAATAAAGATCGTTAGGCTGACTTCACATTAGACATAGAAGTTTGAAGCTTGCCCAATACCTATGGTAGAGCTAGAAATAGTTACAGTTTGTCTAGGGAGAAAAGTACGAAACACACGTTTTTAAAAGAAACCGCATTTCATGTATCTTCTGAACTAATTTATCTATCATTTATATGGCTCTAACTTGGAAGATACCTATTTAAGAAAATAGTTTCAGTAAACTAAAAAAAAGTAATCTGGAATAACTTTGCAATGTCATCATTTTCTTATGAGAGACAAGGTCCACGGCACCTTCACTAAACCCCAGTTTCCCATTTCCAGAATAAAAACAGGCTGTTATTTTTCACTCATTAATAATGTGAAATATTTCATGCTTCAGTAATTGCTTTGTCAGATGCCATTCGTTTTTTATATATAAATTACAAATGCTGAGCTGTGATTAAAACTTCTGTTTTCCTTGCAGAAAAATTGCTGCTGCATTTAAATTTGTGCAGTCTACCCAGAACAATGGAACTCTCAAAGGATCCAATCCTTCCTGCCAGACATCAGGTCTCTTGCCACAATG